AGCAGAGTAGGAAGATACACATGATTGTTATATTTTATATTTTTTCTTCAAATACACATATTGGAATAGCCACATGTTTCATAATAGCTTTTCTGCAGCTCACAGCTAATCGTGTTAGAATGCTTCTGTAAGTTGCTAAATCCCTTTTATAGGGACCCAATCTTTCAGACTTAGAAGCCTAAGTCATTGAGGGTGTTTTGAGCCCAATGCTGGGTTCCATCCAACATGTAGCATACATTATGGGGTAGCACAGGACACAATGTATCTTGTCAGGAGGAACACCAGGAGATTCGTGTATTCTATTTTTTTGTGTGAAACAGGTGCAAAGGAAAGTCAGTATTGGGAAATGAAAGATTATATTTTTATCTGGGCAGTGTGGGGATGGGGGACTTGGAGATGGTGTTAGACCTCCAGTCTTTGTAGAAATGTCCTCTTTTGAGTCTGGTTCAGGCAGAATGATGGCTGTACTTATTTCCTGAAGCCACTCAATCAAAGAAGCACAAATTAGGTGGCTTACAACAAGATAAATCTATCACAGTTCTGGAAGATCTGTGTGTACATCTGGTGAAATATTAGTCTTATAAAAGAAGAAAACCCTGTCATGTACTATGACAGGGATGAACTTAAGGACATTGTGCCAGCTGAGATAAACTAGCCACGAGAGAAAAATAGTGCGTGACTTCACTTATATGACGTAGGTAAAAATAATCAATGCTGTAACAAGATAGAGGGGTAGTGGCCAGGCTAGGAGGGCAGGAAGTGAGGAGCTGTCCAGTGGGTGTTTTAGTCTGTTTTGCGCAGCTGAAACAGAAAATCACAAACTAAAAAAATGTCTAATGAGCAGAAACATTCATTGAGCTGGTTCACTTGGCCTTGCTGGGAGTAGAATAGTTTACTGACTAACACATGCCCTCACCTCATTCCACCAAGAAGCTGAGGTGGCAACCCTGCCCGAGGCTGCCCTTGTATCAGACACTGGCAGGTAAATACCAGTGCCCTATGACTCACATCAGCCATAGTTTTGTTACACTTAATCTCTCTCCTGAAAGTCAAAAGCATCGACTGCAATTGCTTTTGTGAAACTCTCATTTTTTTCTTATCAAATATACATACCACAGGTGAATAAAATAAGCTTATTCATTCTTCATGGGTCAGGAATAACTACTAAGTCTATTTCAAGGAGGCTATTAGAAGTCCACAAATTATTAACTAACAAACCAACATAATAAAGCAAGAAAGACTTTTTGGTGGTTCTTCTATACTCTCCCCCCGCCACACACAAAATGTCAATCTGCTCGCTTTTCTCTTCGTCTTACCAGAATGACATCATGAACGCTGAATGAGTATTCATTCTAGCCACAACTCTCATGACATGTGCTTACTTGGCCTATAAAAATTAAACTTTATTATAACATCTAGCTTTGGAATGTTTTGCACTTAGAAAGTCATGTATTTCATGAGCTTCAGGAACCTCAGGACTCTACCATCTACCTGCATAAATGTCTCCTTGACAGGATTGCTTCTTTTCTCAGAGTTGTCCATGAGTTTTAGCTATAGTGTCAGGTCTACGATAGTGGCCTAACAAGGTGAATGTGCTATTTGAATGGTTTGCATTGATTCTTCTATTGGGATTTTTTTTTTTTTTTGTCAGCTGTGGGGCTCAAACTCTGGGCTTGGGCGCTTTCCTTGAGATCTTCAGCTCAAGGTGAGTGCTCTTATCGCTTGAGCCACAGCACCACTTCTGGTTTTCTAATGGTTTATTGGAAATAAGAGTCTCATGGAGTATCCTGCCCAGGCTGGCATTGAACCGTGATCCTCAGATCTCAGCCTCCTGAATAGTTGGATTATAGGTGTGAGCCACCAGCATCCAGCTCCATGGGGATTTTTTTAACCTTAAAGTTGTGCTCTATAAACATTATTATATGTTTATATGTATGTATGTATGTTGAATATATTTATAAATATAACATATTTGCATAATAGACTATAAATGTTATATGTTATAAATATGTTTTTATATATATGTTGCTTATTAACTGTTCTCATCTGGTGCACTGAGTAATAGCCTTAAGAGCTTAGGAAAGGCAGGTAAGTAGCCAAATGATGAATGATTAAACACTTGGTAGATAGTATTGTGGTTAACAGATGAAGTCCCTACAATCATATTAATGAGATTTGCTACTATCTTGGCAAAATGCCACAATGAACGCTCAGTTTGTCACATAGCATAGTTTCCCTACCAACAGAAATTAGTGGGGATTATGCTACCAACCAAAGGCAGTGAACTGCCTTTAGACATGTTCAGAACAGATCTATTTAATTGCTCCCTCTGCCCATATTACTATGTATTCTCCAGTATCTGGCTACTGTATGCTAACTGACACAGTCCTTCCAGCAACTCCGGGTGGAGGCGCCTGTCATTCCCGTTACTCGTGAAAAAATTGAGTCAGAGAGAGATTAAGTAGTGTGATTTGATATCAAATCCTTGTCTGTTTTGCATAACAAAATAACTGTCACAACTGAGATACTTGTATCACAACTATTAAATGCCAGCACCTCAGAACTTGTCCCATAGTCTCTTTACACCTTTAAAAAGCTTACACTGACCTAATTGTATAAATAAGGAAACCAGTAAATACAGAGAAATAGTTGGCTCAAATTGTTTGGCCAATTCATGACAGACAGGAGGTTTGTCCTCACATAGAGCAAGCCGAAACCCATGCTCTGAGCAGACCATGGGTGCAGCTCTAACTTCTATGCTACATGGGGAGCAGGGACACAATTTGAACTTAATGAAAGGGCCCATAGATTTGAAGAAAAAGTTACCATTTTTTTGTTGTCCTATCCTGTCTCTAGCATGGCATATCAGAGAAATCAAGCTGAGAAGCATAGAACATGGTCTGCATGGCATAGCAGATGGCACTGTAGCAACACTGGACAGGGCAAGGGTTGTCCTGATGCTCTTAGGCCTACATATGTAACAGGTAACCGTTCAAACTGAGAAGAAAGGCATGGTGAAGTTTAGGGATAACAAAGCCCCCCCTTGACTATCTGCTTTGTGACGTGGTGTGAGCATCACTGACACTTGCATTGTGCCCAGAGTGACAGCCCTGTAACATGTAAACTTCCAAACACCAGATTTTCATCTGATAGACTGGCATAATGGCCCTTTCTAAAATCAGGAACATCAGCCAGGTAGCCTCCCAGTTCTTTTTCTAACCTTCATACCTAATATAATCATGCCAATCTCATAAATCTTTTAAAACCATAAAGGAATGTTTATTAAAATATTACTCAGAAATCTGGTTCTAGAAAAGAAAAGAAACATTTAAAGCTGATGTATTATGTAAAATATTCTAAAAAGTTCCTATGTTTAAAACTTCTGGGAGGACATTTCATACAGTGGAGAAACTGTATAGACAGATAATTTTTATTCAAATGTACACAGCTATCAGTATAGTATAAGGCATTGAAAGAATGAAATAAAACACGAAATAAAACACGTATGTGGCTCACACCTGTAATCCTCGCTACTCAGGGGGCAGAGATCTGAAATGTCTGTTTGAAGTCAGCCAGACAGGAAAGTCTGTGAGATTCTTTTTTTTTTTTTTCTGGGGTGGGGGGTCCGGTCATGGGGCCTGAACTCTGGGCCTGGGCGCTGTCCCTCAGTTCTTCAGCTCAAGGCTAACACTCTACCACTTGAGCCACAGCGCCACTTCCAGCTTTTTTCTTTTTGCTTATGTGGTGCTGAAGAATTGAACCCAGGACCTCATGCATGCAAGGCAAGCACTCTACCACTGAGCCATCTTCCCAGCCCTGTGAGATTCTTATTCCAATTAACCACCCAAAAACTGGAAGTGGAACTGCAGCTCAAGTGTTAAAGTGCTATCCTTGAGCAAAAACACCAAGGGACAGTATCCAGGCCTTCAGTTTAAGTCGCAGTACCAGCACCAGAGAGAGAGAGAGAGAATCATAAAATATCACAAGAGCATGATGGTAGTAAAACATCATGGAATGAAATTTAAATTGTATAAGGTTTATGCAGCCTTGGGTATCCATAGTATTAATGTAATGAAAACAGCAAGCAGCCTTTGGATATCTCCTCTGTGCTACTATGATGGATAAACAATTTTCCCAAGTAATACTCACCCAACCGTTAACTATAAAGTCATGTACAATTCCATTTTTCAAGTGGGAAACAAAATCTTGGAGGTTGGGAAATGTGTCTGAGCCTACAGTGGCTAATTGGCTTAAATTTAAACCCACACAGTCCAATTCTATGATGCAAGTTCTTAGTTGCTGTGTCATCCTTATTTCCTCCCTAAGATAAGAGAGGTGTGGATCTCTGCAACGTTAATACAAAGCAAAGTGGCCAAGGAAGAAGAGAAGCTAACACGATGACAACCCTGACACCAAACAGCCTGAATTGTCTTGATCTTACCTGGCGTTGGTTTCAACTCTTGAGATTCAGAGATCCACATTGTTAGCTGGTTCCCCATTTGGTTCTCCTGCCTGCAGGAGACAGACTTTAAAATTACATTCACATCATTCCATTACTGCAGCTGCTTGGTTACTAAATGCCAATCATGAGTCTCAACTCTCAGAAACCTGTTGTACATTATTCTGGCTTCAAATAATGGAAAAAAATCAATGTGATACTTCTTGCTTGTATATTATCTGGAAGTTAAGAGAACATAGAATCAAAATAAGCATTTTAAGTTGTATGATCTTTCTTTCCTCCCCAGCTTCCTCTGCTCCTAATAAGGAGAAGAAATTACACTCTGGGCAGGGTGCTACATCAGGGTAGAAGCGAGAGAAGTGAACATCAGGAACGTACAACTGCTTCCTCCAAGCACTGCAGACTGGCTAAATCTCACCGCCGTAACTTCCTTCACGTTTTCAGGCAGAGTCCACAAATACCTCAAGGCACTATAAAATGACTATAAACACACCGATGATTTTTTAAGGGATACTAAAAGACTTTGCAGAATTATACAAACTGATTGAACAGGATAGATTTTTATTAGTTTCTTTTTTGAAAAGTTTTCAACAACAAGTCTGCTGCTAGTCCTGGGGGCAAGGCCCCACTGAGAACTTTACTTTCCAGAAGCGGAATCTGTTCTCGGACAGTGGGGTGGGCCCTGAAGTGTTCTAGCACGTTGTCCTGAATGAGATTCCACATCCAAACTTTCTGCTGCCTCCTTCGTTTGGCAGTGAGCTCCCCGCTGGCAAGCATCACGTTCTGGAAGTCTCTCATTTTATCCCACATTTCAGCAATGCCCTCTCCAGTTTTGGCAGAAATACGAACTACCTATTGAAAAGGAAGAAGCAGAGGTGTTTTACCTACTATGACACAGACATCATTTTCATGGGGACTCTGATATTTGCCAGTGAATTCTTACAGCTTATGGCAAAAGGCATGGGACAAAAACGAGCTTTTACAGCCTCCTCAAAGTAGACACGCTGACACGCATGCAGAGGCCAAATTCTTTAGCTCAGAGATTTACTTAATCTTGGGAATGCTTAGATGGCCAGGGACACCTTGGAGGACTTGGGAGAGTCAAAGGATGAGAAAAGGCAATGTTAGCCACACAGGTTTCTAAGGCTCAAGTGCAAGGAAAAAAAAAAAAAAGAAACTGAGCTGAGAGAACTCAGCTTCCCCTCCTTCTGCTAAATTTGCCTGGGTCAGCAGGTGCTGAGTGCCAAACACCTAGAACTTCCATGGCCAAGGGGGTTCACTCAATACAGACATGCCTGGAGATCTCGGAGGCTGGCAGGGGACATCCTCACTCCTGTTCTAGTGACTGGGGCTTATTCTCCAATAGTCAGACAAAGCTGCCAGCATCAGTATTTCCTGTATACTTCTTACAGAATGATTCTTCATTCAGTTTTTCTTTTGCTTATTGAAAAGAGCTCAGGAAGCATGATGGGAATGGAAGGGTCAAATCACAAAGCTTTCCTCTGGTACTAAAACTCCAGTATAGATAACCAAATCATTAATTGCTCCATTATTTTGCGGATGGATTTATTATCATTTGCAAATGGCTCACGTCAAGCACTGAGCAAGCTAATCCATCACCTCACGTGCTAGTTTTTGACATCCTGTGGCTGAAAGATTATATTTAAAATCACGACTACCTCCTCTGGCTTTGACATATTTTTGATGCTACAATCTTGAAGCCAAGATGGATTATGTGTTTGCTTGGGACTTACACCCTTCCTCTAAATGTATATAATGCACATAAATCAGGGTGAAAAATGTAGAAAGGAGTGCAAACCTGCGGGCTCCAGACTTCTGAGCGCTTGCGGAGTAATTTTAGTGCACTCACATACTCTGCTTGAATTCTTCGTGCTGGCACAACAAAGTCTCCATCAGATTTAGTTACAGCTACCAGGTCTGCCATCTCAACTATACCCCTTTTGATTCCCTAGAGAGAAAGGGAGAAGCAGTAAATTTGTCAAAAGCACAAATGCAGGGCACCCTGTTAATATCATGATTTTGAAAGTGATGCACTTCATTAACTTCTTCTGCATCTTTCCAAGCCCTGGCACCAGCAATCACAATTACAGGACAGAAATTACTTAAGTACACTGACTCTTAGGATTATGGAAGCTATTTGTAACCTTGCTTCCAAATTTTGAGAGTAGCATAGTAAAGTACACTGAGCACAATCAATCATGACACACTTGATGGAGTGGCAGGAGGCATTTTACATTGTCTCACGATGGACTCTGCTTTTTATCTCTGAAGGATATATCATCCATCATTAGGATGGTTAAAAGAAAATGTATATGCCACTAATATCTACATTTCCAGTAATAAAGCCTTTGAATTTTTCTTAATTACATATAGCATATTTTTCAATTTGCATTTAATGATAATAAGCTGATAGCTAAAATTGCCCCAACTTCTTGATTTAAATTAAGCTGCATAATAATGCTAAATATTGCCACTGTAGGTGGCTTGTTCCTGTGATCCTGGCTACCTAGGAGGCTGGGATCGGAGAATTGTGGTTCAAAGCCAGTCTGAACAAAAAAATCCACAAGATTCTAATTCCAAGGATCCTGCAAAAGGCATAGCTCAACTGGTAGGAGTCAGCTGTGGGCAAGTAAGCTGAGTGAGAGCTCAAGGTCCTGAGTTCAAGCCTTAGAACCAGCACAACCATAAACAACAAACACATAATAAGCCAGAACTAAAAGACAAAATTCCAGGGACAAATCTTATTTCTAAAATGCATTTGTCCATCTCAGATTAATTTTTTTCAAATATTTTACATATTACTTTTAAATGTTACATTCTGATAGTCAATGTCTTTCAGTTACAGCTTCCATTGTCTGTTACTACTCTGGGGGAATTTTAAAAAATTCATTTATGTTAAATTGTTAACTCATTAAGAACTATTTCAACTGTAAAAAGTTGCATAGTTATTCTTGTAGCTGGACAAAGCGATTTCAGTTCGCCGTGTCACTTTATGTGTACAAAGCATCTTGGCCAGTGTTGCCCCTTCCACTTTTCTCCCACCACCTATCCCCTCTGGTTTCTTTTATAATTTTTTATGTAATAAAAATTTTTTAATGTCTGTATTGGACTTCTAAATTCTTGGAGTTTAATCCGTGGTTTTTCTAGGGCAATAGCACTGTCTTTGTAATTTATGGTGCAGGTCTAGAACGATAACCTCATTTATGAAGAATGGGTACTGACCATGCCAGCAAACTCTACTTTGATTAGGGGCTTGGGCCTCTGAATCTTGTGGACAATTTCTGTGGGGTAGGAGCTGGAGACTGGGCTCAATTATAGGGCCAATGTTTCAGCCACATGCATCTACATAATGAGACCCCACTAAAAACTAAGGACACAGAAGCTCCAGGGAGCTTGTGGTTGGGGAATGTGTCTGGGGACATAGAAGCTTTGCCTTTGGGACCCACCCCCGCCCAACCCCAGACATCACCCTGTGTTTCTTCATTTGGCAGATCCTGATTTATTGCTTACATCATAAAACTTCAATCGTAGTATTGTGTTTTCCTGAATTCTATTCGTTATTTGATCAATTATGGAACTTTTGGTAATGGGAACCTTCAGCTTTGTGGCCAGCTGGTCAGAGGCATAAATGGCCTGGGAACCCTAGAGCTGACAGTTCCTGTCTGAAGTGAGGGAAGCTGTGGAAGGCAGTGCCAGCTCAAGGTAGAAAGCACCAGAGTTATATCCAGGACAAGCTGGAATTCTATTATGCAGTATGTAAGCTATGATGGTTAAGAGCGCAGCTAAATATCAAGTGGAATCTGATGAACTTCTGAACCAACACTTCTACATACATTGGTGCAACAAGGTCTCTTTTAGTCAGAGCTATCCATTTATTCCACTCACTTCGTGTTGAATGTGGAAAAATCCAAGTCAAATGATTAGCTCAATAGTATATTACTAAAAGTAACTACAGTGTATTGTTACCATAAGTTGGGAAAATACATACAGAGAATCTGCCGGACTCAAGTATTTTAGCCAATATGAAGGATGTTTCTTTCTCTATACTGTTTCTTTTAAGTTAATTTGCAGAAACTCAACACTGGAAATTTGCACCTTTGTACTAGCTACTTTATTTGGAGGAGTAATCAAAATCATTACCTGCAATTCATCCCCTCCTGCTGGTGGCAGTAGTAAAACAAACATGTCAACCATGTCAGCAACAGCAAACTCTGACTGACCCACACCTGGAATTTTAAATCAAAACTATAGCTTAAAATATTCAGAGTTACTACACTTTCTCAACTGCATTGACTGCTATTTCCATTCCATTCCATTCCTTCACACTCAAGGTCACATATCCCTTTAAACCCCAGGTCTTAGTCCATTTTCTCTTGCCCTAATAACATACTTGAGTCTGGTCATTTTATAAAGAATAGAAGTTGATCTGGAGGCTGGGAAATACGAGAGCACAGCCAGCCCCTGCTGTGCATCTGTGAGAGCTTCCCACTCCTTTTGGGCCAACTCTGAACTCCTGAGTAGGGTACAGCAAGCGTTGGTAACCTGGCCCGGTCACCACTCCAACCCATTTCTGCTCGGGGGCCTGAGCAAGCTGTGCTTCTTTTCTCAGTCCTCTGTGCTCATGGAAATGTTCTTGCCCTCACACTGCTAACTCTTCCTCCAAAACTCAACTCAGCCACCCCACTGCTCTAGGAAGTCTTCTCCAACTCTCCCAAATCTGAGTTAGGTTGTGTCACAAATGTCTCTCTCACAATAATGTAACATTCAGTCTCTCCACAAGAAAGTGACTGTCAGCATTTTCATTTTAGGGTCTTCATTGCATGTAATTATGTGCTAATGATGTAAGAATAAATAAAGCAAAGCCCCCTAACCAGAGTTATCTAATGCACGTCTTTTCTTAGTGAACAGTGCACACTACACATATGACATGTGCTTTTGTCTTTTGCTCATGGAAGTCATCCTCATGCTTGCTATTCTCTAGCACATGTGACATACCATATGTCTGGGTAACACAGACAGTGCCAAGTTATGTGAGGGTAGCAATTATATCCAATATGCTCATATTGCCTACTGATCTATGTTAATGTTGTGTATTTATTTAAACCACTGCAAGTATGTGCTTAAAGAACAAAATGGAATTAGTTGTCAAGGAGTGTGGGAGCTTACACCTCCATCCCAGATACTCAGAACGCATAGAAAGGAGGATTACAGTTTGAAGCTGAAAAGTGAAACCCCCACCTCAACAAACAAACTGGGTGTGGGAGTTCACACCTGTAATCCAAGCTCCTGAGGAGACATGGCCTGACCTAAAAAATAACTATAGCCAAAAGGTACGAAACCTGATCTAAAAAGTAACTGCAGTGCCGGTGGTGTGGCTCTAACGGTAGAGCCTGGTCAGTGCAAGGCTTTGAGTTCAGATATCATTAAACTATTTTTAAATCTGGGTGCCAGTGGCTTTTGCCTATAAATCCTAACTACTCAGGAGGTTGAGATATCTAAGGATCACAGTTCAAAGCCAACCTAGGAAAGTCTGTGAGACTCATATCTCCCATTAATCACCAGTTTTAAAAACAAGCTGGGAGTGGAGCTGTGGTCCAAAAAATAGAGCACTAGCCTTGAGCAACAAAGTTCAGGGACAGCTTTCAGGCCCTGAGTTGAAGCCCCACCTCTGGATTGGCACCAAAACAACACCCCCCCCCAAAAAAAAAACCCCAAACCTTAGCTGTCACTTGTCACTCATCTTTATACAGCATTCATTGTAACAGCATATTATTTTTTATAAACTACAACAGCACACTCACCTACAGTTTCGATGAGAATGATGTCATACCCGCCCCCTTCACACAACAGGATAGCTTCATTTGTGGTTCTTGTCACGCCGCCTAAGGTCCCTCTGGTAGGAGATGGTCTGATGTATGCGTTCAAGTCTTTTGATAGCTCAACCATCCGTGTTTTATCACCTAACAGGGATCCTAAAACACAGAGTTACATTTGATAATTGTGTGACACTCTAAGGCCAATTAACAATTTAGTCCATTTCAAGGGGACATGCTTTATGACAAAATTCCCACCTGTATCTGAAAGGATGGAATTTCCCTCCAGCTCACTGTATATGAGCATGCTGGATTCATCTTACCTTCTAAGCACCTTAGCTGCCCAGTTCCAGCCTCCGGCAGTGAGCCCCAAAACAGTCTCAGGTCCAGAGCCAGCCGGGGTGTTTTCTTTACTCCATTGGGGTTTACTGCCTGCCCTCCCCCGTGCCCCCCCCCCACGCCACCCAAGACATCTCTTCTGTTCTCTCACCATTAACTTATGGTGCGTCGATTTAGACAGTCTGCATCCTGGCTTGAATGTTCCCCACCATTCAATTTAGAGAAGTAACTTTACCTACCTGAACCTTCCTGCTGGGCTACATAGCAAGACTTGGCAAGATTATATACAGGAACAGAATGTGATATCAAAAGCGAAATTCACAATACTACAGGTATCTTAACAAAGGTAAGTTAACGTCCTCACTCTTTCATTGGATTTTCTGGAACTTTTTTCACCCACGCCCAACTCTGAGTACACAGCAACTGTTTTGCCCTGCACTCTGATAGCATCCTGGAGGACATAAGAGAATCTGGTGTCCCTCCCCTTTCTCTTATGACCATGAACACCCACCAGTCCCATCCCTCTATTAGTACAAATTACATTTCTCAGCCTTGTGCAAATGTACCTATAAGCTGCCCTTCTACCCAGTCTGCTTTTAACTCTCTACTACTTAGAAATTTTGAGGCCCACAATGAATGCAAAGTAAGCTGAGTGAATGGACAGACAACTATTCAGGCAACACATTTTAGGGGTTCATATCTCCATATCTTATCTCTTTCACACAGTGATTCTCAACCCAGGTAAACCTTGCCCCCTCCCCTACCCCCACAACTTCCAGAGAAATTTGGCAATGTCTAGAGATACTCACTTTGTCAAGAGATGGGGTGGGATGCTACTGGCATTCACTAAATAGCAACCAGGGCTGCTGCTAAGCATCCTGAATTTATAGGACAGAACTACCTGCCACAAAGAGTTGCCTGGTCCCCAGTATCATTCGTGCCAAATTCCTTGCCTATCCTATACACTGAATGGGAAACAGTGTTTAGTAAGTGTTCAATGTAATACCTATGAAACAGAACTAGTTATATTTCTGAGTTTCCTGTAGTATTGTGAATTTCAGAAAAATGAAAACCTTCAAACCACTATAACTTTTTCCTACTTTCCTTTTTCCATATAATTGTGAAAATGACATTATTTCAACCTATGTATATTTACTCTAAGATTTACATTTTTCCTGGGAAGATATTCAGGATGTAGTCTTTTCCCTATGGCCACAGTTCAGTCTTCTCACAGGTTTGTTTTCTAGAGCATGCACTTGACTCAACTACATCACATAAAACTTGTTCCTGAGCCAAGCACTGGTGACTCATGCCTGTAACCCTAGTTACTCAGGAGGCTGAGATCTGAGAATCATGGTTCAAAGTCAGTTTGGGCAGGAAAGTCTATGTAATTCATCTCCAATTAATCACCAGAAAACCATAAGTGGCATTATAGCTCAAAGTGGTAGAGTGCTAGCTTTGAGCAAAAGAGCTCAGGGACAGCAACCAGGCCATAAATTCAAGCTCATGGCCAACAATAACAAATGACAAAAACAAAAACTAGTTCCTGGTTAATTCACATGAATTCATTACTGTGGAAATCAACACTTGGTCAAATGAATGCTTTATAAATTATTATCCTATAGACACTATAACACTCCAGTACAAATTATGACAGACTTTCCCATCTGAATTGTTTTTGTTCAAATTGTTCGTTGTAGACTTGCAGAGTGGTCATGAAGCTATTGTGGGGTCTGGGAATCCTAAGCACATGGCTTGAATGACCAAAACTCTAGTGCTTCTCACACATTACTGATACATTCCAGAAATGTATATTTATTATAGTGGCCTGTGTATCTTCATATATTTGCCTCTCAAAATCTATCTATTGTATCTATCATCTGTATTTCTTTTACTTGGAAAAAAACTCTATTTTTTGGTTAAGGAAGAAAGACTAGGTACTGTAATGATAGGCAATGTGAATCAAAGAATACTTTATACCATCATTTCTATTATTAATTACAATAGCAACCTATCATTTTCTTTTTCCATAGAAAAATCCTAGACTTTGATCATGGGAGAAAAAGGCCTTGTCATCTGTGGGAGCAGGAGGATCATGCAAAAGATCCCTCATTAAAGAACTGGCCTTCAACAATGCTCTTAGGTTGTAAATAACTTAAGACAACACAATGACATAGATTTAATCTTGAAACTTGTGAGTTCAAATTGTATTTGCAGTTAACTTTTCTATTACAGTGCACTGAAACTGTTGAGCCATATTTCTCAATAAGCAAGCAGGAACAGGAATTGTCCACTCTCTACTGACCCGAATGTGATTACATTCCCCTGAAATACGATCATATTCCCTGGAATAACACAGTGCACAAAGCACCCTGGGCTTACCCCTCCACAACGCATTACGTTGTAATGGCCTGCGTGGGCTGGCCTGGTTTCCCCTAGACATGAAGCTCCCCTTAGGCTGAGCACTGTGTCTCACCACGCACAGCACAGGGCTTCTGAGCAGAGCGCTCGCTGTCCAAGGCGCTCAAAGCCTTGCTAAGTGCACGTGAGAAGCTTATATCATAGAGGGCAAGGGAAGAAAACCTTTCCTGAGTATTTACACAGTGTGCTTTCTGTTTTCTTTAAATGGTCCTTCAGGGAACTAAGTTTATATTCATTTTATCTCTGATGAGCTGCAAATTAAACATGGAGTGATTGCATGACCTCAAATCAGTAATAGCTGCACACTGTGCAGTGGACAATGCACTCTGTAAGTCCTATGGGGGAAGAGCAATGTGTTATGCAGTCCCTCTGGGAGCTTTCTAATCGGGCATAGCGCATAAACAGGTGACAATTTGCAAACAGTAGAAAAGCTTAAGAGAGGTTATAAAATAGCAAATGAGCAAGGATTATTTTCTGAATCATGCAGCCACTGATGCAGCCAGAACAAAAGAGCACAGGAGAAGAAGGGCTTGGTCTTAGGCCTGAATGGCAAAGAGCTGATCGTTGCTTTGAATCATTTCAACTTCAGGCCTATTATCTCAGTATTCCAAGTGCCTACTGAGCTACGCACAAGCTGGCTGCCTAGCCACCTCCTGCTGTCTGTACCTCACCCAGCAAAACAGGAGTTGTTCCTTCAGTGAGCCCACACTCGGCTAGCAGTTCATCCACGGAACTGCAGAGTTCCACTACTATACTAGGTACTAGATACTCCAGGTAAAAGAGCGCCCTACAAGATCTGCGATTCAAAAGGAACACGCCATACTCACCACCGCTAGTGAAAGAGGAAGGGTCCACAGCTAGCACAGACAACTTGTGCCCTCTCTCAGTGAGCATTTTTCCAAAATACTCAATAAATGTTGATTTTCCAGCACCAGGGGGTCCAGACAATCCTACAATGAAGAGAGTTCTCTAATTTAATAGAATGAAATGAGTACTACAACCATGTTATTGAAGAAATAATTATTTACCGATTTATTGCAGCTATTGTTTTAACATGTCCTATAGCAGAAAATGAAAATCTACCTTGTGGTCTCACATTCCAGGGAAATTGTGATTTAGGAAACAAAAAATTCTTGAGTTTCATGTTTTCAGAATTCACTTTCAAAAATAGAATGTACTTTGCCTCTTCTCTATAGATCTTTAGACACATTTCATTGAGGTTCAAGGACAGCTTGGGTACCAACATTCCTGAGACTCCATCGCAATGAATGGCTGGGTGTGGTGGTGCCCACCTGCTGTCTCAGCTACAGTGGGGAAGTACAGTGGCTAGGCAGTGGTCTGTACCTGTCATTCCCAGCACACTGGGAAGCACGAGGAGGAGGACGGTAGTCTAGGCTGGCCTGGACATAAAGTGAGACCATACTTTTTTAGGAAGGGGGTGGGGGCTGGAGGTGTGGCGTATGTAGCAGAGTGCCTGCCTTGCAAGCACAGAGTGGAGTTCGATTTCAGGTAATGTAAAAAAACAAAGAAAAAAGGAAAAAAAATCAGAGGAGCTGGTCATGGTATCTCACACCCACAAACCTCGCTACTCAGGATTACAGCTCAAAGCCAGTCCAGGCGAAGGAGTCACAAGTCCTCATCTCAACTGATAAAGCTGGGCATGGTGGTGTGTGCCTGTCATTTCAGCTACGCAGCATGCAAAAACTCAAGAGCCTATCGAAAATATAACTAAAGCAAAAAAAAATGTGTGGTTCAGGTGGTAGAGTGCCTGCCTAGCAAGTGCAAGACCTCGAGTTAAACCCTAGTGCACAACAACAAAAGACACACAGGAGGTACACCTACCCCCATCAGGCCTAAGACCAAGTATGTGAGCGAGCGGGCAAGCCCCATGTCTCATTCTAGATCTGCTCTCACAAGCTCTAGCACTTCGGTGTCTCAGCATCCTTTACAATAGAGCAAGGAGCATCGCACTTTCTCTTTCAGATCATTGGAACAATGGCATGAAATTGTGTGTGCAGTGGGTTTAGGACAGTGTGTGGCACAGAGATGTCTATGTTCAATAAGGCAGTCACACAGGCATTTACATGCTAACGTGTGCTTTCTTAAACATGTTTAGAGCACTGAATAAACACGTGTTGCTCTTATCTATGATGGTGACAAAACAAGCACAATAGAGACCCAAGTTTATGTGAAAACCCAGCTAGAACAGCTAGAAGAGCAATGCAAAGTCACGTGTTTGCTTAATTGACTCTTCTGGGGTATTCTCTCTTCAAGATTATCTCATCATGACTTGGTGGCTTGCTATTTTGGGGCTACAACACTAAAAGGTTATTAATGTCCAAGATAGTACTCTCTCAAAACGAGAGCCTCTCAATGAGGGCAGAATAAGAAGTTTGAAACATGTGGATCAATACAAATACTGGCTGATGGCCTTTTTAAAAAAAAATCCTTAAAGTACTAATATAAAACCTAGGAGATCTGGGTCGTAGCATTGTCAATAAACTATGATATAAAAGCCTATTTGTGTGAGGTCCCAGTGCTTCATACCTGTAATTCTACTTCCTAGGAGGCTGAGATCTGATGATCACCGTTCAACTAGCCGTCAGACAAATCCTCAAGACTCTTACCTCAAGTAACCAGCAAAAATGTTGGACTGGAGGCATGGCTCAAGTGGAACACTCTCTGTGAGCAAAAAAGCCTCAGGACAGTTTAAGGACTGGAATTTACCAATTAATTCTTCCATGTGCTTATTCACTACCCACAGAATCCCTGCACTTCGCCCAACATATTGTTTTTTCTGGAAAGGTTGATTCCAATTATCTAACTCACCATCCTTGAATGCTCTTTCTACCCAAACTCCTTGGATTAATTCCTACTGCCAAAACATATCTGAATGGTCTTAAAATGCATAATTTCAAAAAAAAAACAAGCTAAATTGCAATTTCAGAACCAAAACAAATTGTCAAAATATCATTTAAATATAGATAGCAAATAAATGATTAAAATGTCATCTCTACAATACTTCAGTATTGAGATGGTCACTCCCAGAAGCTCATTTAAAAAAAGGTATCCATAGGCTGGGATGTAGCTCAGTGGCAAAGTGCAACATCCTAGGTTTGCACCCAGTACCAAAAAAGAAAATAGGAAAAAAAAAATTGAAGACATTATAACTGACACACCATGAAACACAGAATTCACTTTGCACTAATAAACTGAAGAACTACTAAAAGGAAGGAAGAAACTGGCTAATAGCTCTTTCTGGACCTGTTTCCATTCTTGAAGCCTTCGCAAGACTCTTTCAGAACTACAGCTCTATTACGCTTTGAAAATACAGAGCCTTGGTCAGGGCAAGTTTTTCAAGATTAGTATTTTCAAAAAAAACAAGCATTTAAAATTCACACAAACGGGCTGGGAAGGTGGCTCAGTGGTGGAGCGCTTGCCTTGCATGCATGAGGCCCTGGGTTCGATTCCTCAGCACCACATAAGCAAAAAGAAAAAAGCTGGAAGTGGCACTGTGGCTCAAGTGGTAGAGCGCTAGCCTTGAGCTGAAGAGCTGAGGGACAGCGCCCAGGCCCAGAGTTCAGGCCCCACGACCGGACCCAAAAATAAATAAATAAATAAAATTCACCCAAACTTCAAGAAAAAATATGAATTACACTGAAAATTATTTGGATGGTATCTTCATGGGACTGGCTTTGGATAGTGATCTTCCTACCTATACATCTTGCCTAGACAAGATTACAGGCATAAGCCACCACACAGCCTGCAAAGTGTTCAGACTTTGTTTGTATGTGCTGGTCCTAGGGTTTGAACTCAAAGACTGGGGACTGTCCTGAGATTTTTTGCTCAAGGCTAGTACTCTACCACTTAAGACTCAGCTCTACTTCTGGCTTTTTGGTTGGTAGTTAATTGGAGATAAAGGCTTCTGTTATCCTCAGATCTCAGCCTCTAGAGCTGCTAGGATTACAGGTGTGAGACACTAGTGTCCCAGCTGTTTAGATTTAGTTTAAAAAGGAGAAATGAGCCAGCGCCAGTGGCTCACACCTGTAATCCTAGGCACTCAGGAGGCTGAGATCTGGGGATAGCAGTTCAGCTTGCCTGGGCAGGAAAGTCCATGAGACTCCGATCTTCAATTAACCACCAGAAAATGGTGCTGTGGCTCAAGTGGTAGAGGTAGAGCGCTTGCCTTGAGCTGAAGAGCTCAGGGACAGCATCCAGGCCCAGAGTTCAAGCCCCACGACCAACATTAAAAAAAAAAAAAGAAGAACTGAAAAAAAAATTACTCAACAACAACAAACTGACCTACTCGAAACGCTAGTGGCTTTCCTTGATTTAACTGTTCCTGTTCTCGATGGTAGACTAAAACCTTCTGCAAAAGCACCTGGGCTAAGTCCTTTTTCCTGTGGTGAGTCGATTCTATGAGAGTTATGGACTCTGCTAAGCAAGCCCTTTGCCTTTGTATTAGACCAGTATAAAGTCTATCCACAAGTCTTTGTTCTTTATCAGAAAGCTCCTCCGTGTAGTCTTTCAAGGTCGTTTGTGTACAGAATTCTCTCCTTAAACTATTGGACGGCAGCATCTGCTTTGTATACTGGAATCCAAGAGACTTCAATGGCCGGGCACATGAGAGTCCCCGTCCGCGAGGAGTACTTGAGTGCGAGACGCAGTGGTGGCGATGGAAAGACCCTGTGAAAAGGCCTCTCAGCAGAGGCTGGGGAGGACGCAGCAGCAGCGCTGGAATGCTCATTGTGCATGTGCCCAGAGGAAACCTGGATGCGTCTGACTTAATGTGACTTGTGGCCTCCCTAGAAGAAAGAAAAACATATTTTTTTGCCAGTTCAACAGACGACAGATACTGAAGCAATGAAACAGTGCTTTTCCTGTGCTCGGTAACACACACTTATGGTTCTGGGCAGTATAAATGGGTGAGTTCTCTTACTAAATCTGAGAGAGAATATCCTCTCCTTTGCTATGGGTAAAATATATTCAGAATATGCCAAGTCATAAAACCATTACTCTACTGTAAAGTAGAGAGTGCATTAAAATTTCTTCATAAATAAAAACCAATATACAAATGCTCATTAGGGTAGGGTAGACATTTGCTATCCTGTCTCTCCTTCCATTCATTTTAAAGATTACCTCAGGTCAACATACCCAATGCTGAAGCGCATACAAAAGATTCTTTAGAAAGAATCCGTTGGAAGCTGGCCTTTGATCCACTTGCTACAAAAGAAATGTGATTAGAAGTGTGGCACTTGAGGCACAAGTTTAGATGCAGTCTGTGCTGTACTATAAAGAGCCCCTACCCCCACCCCATAACCTGGCATAAGTACACAATCAACAACAATAAGCCTTAATGTGCAGTGAACTGTGTGGGTGGTTTCTCAGAGCAAAGTCAGAACCACCATTACTTACTGCCAGCGCACTAGTGGTCTCGGTGGGCAGGCACACCAGCGTGAGCCACTGCGACTACATGCAGGTCCTTTCCCTAGATTTACCTTGATTCTAAGGCAGCTTCCAACTGTATTAGATAATGGAAGCTGTGCTGCAACTAAGTCAGGACAGGGCAGAGATTATGAGCCACAGCCACCATACTCTATACACCTCCACTGTCCTGTCCTCACGTAAGTTACGCTGTCACTTTGTGTCTCAACTGCTCTGGGGCAAAGACTAGATAAGCAAGCAGGGTGATTGTGGGAGCAAGATGACTTAATTTATACATTAGCTTTCATTGTTATTACAATTTATAAAACACTGGTAATGACAGACCTTTTTTCCTTAGCAAACTAAGATTTATAGACAGATCCTTACAACCTACCCAGTTTCTGTTTATGATTATAGGTAAATTTTCCTGTACCTCATGACACATTAAAATAAATTACTTGATTGCTCCCAGATACTTCTGTAAATGGTACTTTAAAGCCCATGAATTATGAAATTAATTTTAGCTAATAAGCATCCTATTAGTGACAAAGAAGAAATAATCTTAAGATTTTTGTAAGTGGTAGAATTATAATTGCTCATCTGTTCTCTTAAGATTTTTTTTCTATTTTGAGGGAAGCATTATAATTTCTATTTATACAAAATTAGTATTAGTCTAAAAGGACAGTTAATTAAAAAACGTGTAAGTTATTCTTTAAAAAATTTAAATATCCACCACTGCTTTTTATATACACTAAAAATAATGACTAAAACAAAAGGTCTTGCCCTCAGAAAACTGACATTCTAGTGAGAGAAGCTCAATCTAATTAACTTTATGATGGATAGTCTGTCTGTCTATGTACCTGGAGGCTGGATCATAGGTAAAGTTTAAAAGAAATGGTCAAGGACTGGGTCAAACACAGGTCCTTACAGAGGACTGCAAAGACTTTCAGTGAGATGGGAAGCCAGAGGACAGAGGTGAACCTTTAACAAATGTTTAAAGAGACTCTGGGTATTCTATACAGAGTTCAACGTGTGGGGGATGGGGATGTCAAGGCACAAGCAAAGAAATACAAAGACCATCCAGGAAAATGAGTGCAGTCCAGAGACGAGATGATAAAGGTGTGGTCCAGACAGGTGGTATGAAGTCAGGCTGCAGAGGAGTGCTGAGGGACCTGCCATGAAATGTGGTGGAGGGGAGCGGTCAAGGATGAGGCAAAGCTTTGTCCCATGCCCTAGAAAACTGGAGTGTCTTTTCTTAAGCTGGGGAACGATGTGGGAGTTGAGGTTTGACGTATGACCAAGAATCTGACTTTCCTTTTTTTTGGTGGGGGGGGTCCGGTCGTGGGGCCTGAACTCTGGGCCTGGGTGCTGTCCCTCAGCTCTTCAGCTCAAGGCTAGCACTCTACCACTTGAGCCACAGCGCCACTTCCGGCTTTTTTCTTTTTGCTTATGTAGTGTTGAGGAATCGAACCCAGGGCCTCATGCATGCATGACTTTCTTAATAGACACCTATTATTATAATACAGACACCCAGGCATCAAACATCACATGGTACCCATTAATATGGGCATATTTAGCTTTTTGTGTATCACTCAGCAGCTTTAGACTGATCGACCAAAGCTGTGCAACTATGGAAATAATTTCAAATTTCATAAATCCAGATCTATATGGTATTACCTCTACAGAAAATAAAATAATCTCTGTGAAATACCAATAATGTATTAGGTGACAGAACAAATTGCAAAACATTTTAAAAGGTTTTTTTCACTTCACAGAAAATTCGTATCTGATGACTAAATCCATAACATAGTTAACTTCATTATTCAAGTGATCTGATTTTAAAGCAGCCAATACATTTCTCAGAAGCCAGTGTAACCTGGTATAACCTGGCCTTATGAGCAACTATCCACCCTGACACACATGGCATGGGCAGAACAAAAGAAGTTTGTTTGCAAACTTAGCAACATTCTAACAGACTCTTCCAACCATGCTGACAAAACCAAGTATGGCTTCCCACCTTCTCACGAAGCATTTCTGCCTGCTTTCTTGTGGGAAGAAGCAAAGAACTTGGCCAATAATCAAATCAAACCAAATGGCTTCAATTAATTTTCATGATCCCTCAGAGTACAGTTTCATCTAACAATTTGTTAAGCTATGCGCTGCCCAAAATGAAAGATATTTCTCACCATTTACAACGTTCAGTAAGAAACGGTAAAACACTGCCAAGTCTAATAAACCAGACAGTCAATTTATTAGTATACATGAAAAACATCAAGTAGGCAAAAATACTGAACCGGGCTGGCTCGTCTTCACAGCCTGCTGTGGTTAAATCATAACTGCCTCCCAGAAGCCTACTGGTCTCCTGCCCATAGTGCTATTGGGAGGGGTGGGGCCTAGGGGAGAAAGTTAGGTCAATGGGGGTGTACCTTTTAGCCATTTCTGTCACATGGCTCTTCTGCCACATGCTGCCACCATTATACCATTTCTCCAGAGAGCCAAGCAACAAGGCCATTGCTCACAGGTGGACTCCTCCAAATCACTAAGTTATTTTTAAGTATTTGGTTACTGCAATGAAAAACCGTCTCCTCTGCAAGAGGGTTTATATGGATAGGAGCATTTTAAGATTCAATGTGTCTTATATCCATTCCTTCTTCTCTGCCCACACTTTACATCACCCTAACATGGGTTTCAAGCTCTGGTTGCATTCCATCAGAAGAATGCATTTACATCAATGAGTAAACACACGTTTAAGTGAAACCTCAGTGGCATTTACTCTTCCATGTGATACACTCTAAAACTGTCTTTTGGGGTTTTTTTGTTTGTCAATGCAGATTATAATGAATATAACCTTAATTCTAAAATCTCCAATCTACTATTAATTTCATCTTCCACACTATCACTTATTCTTACATCATAATTACTTCACTGTTTGGAACACTTAAAAGATCTCTGCCTTATGTGAAAGAACAGAAGACAAAAAAAATGCTGTTCTGTGATGCATTCATTTATGGAGAACCTATGCTAAGCTTTGTGCGGGAACTTGGGATTACTAGCATACAGCAGCTCAAGCATGGCTCCTGTTACCATGCTTACAATCCAGCCAAACAGTCATCACATAAACACTCCATACTCTTTGTGAGTGCCTCTGTCCACACTTAGCTAACTTCCTTCATTCCCCTCCTCATTTTTTTTTTGGTCAGTTGTGGGGCTTGAACTTGGCCTGGGCGCTGTCTCTGATCTCTTCAGCTCAAGGCTAGCATTCTACCACTGGAGCCACAGTGCCACTTCTGGCTTTTTCTTTTTATGTGGTGCTGAGGAATCAAAACCAGGGCCTCATGCGTTCGAGGCAACTGAGCCACCTTCCCAGCCCTCGCCCCCTCCACTTTTATATTGCTATAACTGCTCTGATCTGCACACAGAACAAGCCACACCTTTTTCTACACTGTGGTTGTCATCCACGGCATTCTCTCCGGCTGGGATGAACTTCTTCACCATCTCACAAATTCCTCCTTGGCCTTCAGGACCTCGGGTGTCTTGTCTGTAGAGTTCCCCAGCCTCATGCCTCCTCGCTTTAGTCCCTGCCCTCCTGTCATCATGGACTGGGCACAATTCTCTGACGGTGTACCTCCCATTGCACTGCAGTCTTCTGCTGGCCATGAGCTATCCTCTTATCTACAGCAGTTCACAGCTCACAGCAGAAACGAACATGCATAATAATCTTGTGTGGGTCCATGAAACCATTACATTGATTACTCAACTGGATCGATGCTTTTACTGTATCTATTTTTCTAAATTTTATGGTAAATTTGCATTTAATGATTTTTTTAAAGTCTTATTTCAATTTATAGATTTTTTTCATTAAAAATTAGCTCAATGCTGGGTATAGTGGTCCATTCCCCAAATCCCAGCAGACGGGGAGGTAAATGTAGAAGGCTCAAGAGTTCAAGGCCAGATTGGCCTACTTAAGTAAGTTTGAGCACAGCCAGAGATACTCAGCAAGACCCTGTCACACAAAAAGAAAAAAAAATGTTCAGCAGCAGCCACTCTGACAGAATATTTATCTTGAAATTGATCCAATGAACATTCTTAATTTCAGTAACAACACCGGCAAGAAAAAGCATACAGAATTTCCAAAATCAATAATTAGGTCAGTGTCTGCAATGCAGCACAGTTCATACAGGCAAGGCAGAGTTATCCCATCCATTTCCATTCTCAATGCTCATCACTTGATTGGAAGTGAAGTTGTTGAATGCGGCTTATCCTCTATAGGAGGCAACACTCTCTCCTTTTCAAATAGTTCCAAGGCATTTTTGTAGTGTAGAATGACTTTTAAAGAGAGTGTTAAATAGGTTTTAAATAAGCTATTATTGTGCAAGAGTAGTACAGAACACCTCACATATTTGGACAGGAACTTTCTTAAGTTCTCTACCTTTCATCCTATTGCTAGTAAGACACATTTCCAATGTTGACTTCTAGGTTAAAATCTGTGGGGAGAGGGATCTCGAATTTTTGTAAATTCTATCACCACTAAATGTTTTCCCTCACCCTCACCGCTACTACACTAGCTGGAATCTGCCACCATCTCTGGTGCCTGGGCAACCGCTCATACTTTTAATTTTTCCAAGTCCAAACCTACTGTACATGCAGGCAATAGTGCATGTGAGTGAGTGGTTAGGAGCCAGCTTGGCAGAGGACCTGGCATCAAACAGGTGCAAATGAACTCTAAGAACATTACCCCTTTTCTACCTAGTTCACAGTCCTCCGCTGGGACTTCTGGGCTTCATCTCAAAATATAAACGTGACCACTGTACTGTTCAACTCAGAGTTGCCCACACCCCAGGATGGGAAACTCCGTGTATTCTCAGGCCTCACTACAGACCTGAATCAGACACTGATGTCTGATGATGTCTTCCAGCTGATTCTAATGTATACTCCAAATTTCCTAGCAGGGATCACAGAGGTCCCTCAAAACATTTTCCTTGCACCCCATTTCCAAACTTCTTCTATTTCTGAATTCTGATCTAAGGAATAATTTGCACAGATCACAACCAATTATATCTGGCCCAGAGAAGGTGCATGCTAACTCAACTGCTTGTCAATTATATTACAAAAATTTAATCACATAAAAACTAGATTTTTAGCCTGTGTTGTAAAAAAAGATCTTGTATTTTGGACTTGCATTGCACACAGCAACAATCAGCAAAGACGTTAACTCTCCAGCCTTCACGAGCTCTTTCTATTCCAAATGTTTTGATATCTCCAAACTTCTTTACATTCCTTATCTCTATGTAGCTTTTCATACTTTTTTGTAATAGGCTGCAGCTCTTAAAAAGAGCTGTCTCTAAATTTTCTACTTCCCTAAATGTGTTTACTAAGTAAAAGAATATTCTGGAAACAAGACCCCAAAATGTTTCAGTTCTATCAGAAACCTTGGGGTTTCTACCCACTCAGAAATTTAAACGGTCTGTATCTACTTTCTAGAATATATGTAATAACGCTCATTTAAGCGGTAAGAGATTTTTACCATGTTATTTTGGCTTATATAGCCTTTCATGTATATATATATATATATGTATATATACATATATATGTGTGTATATATAATCTCAAAACATGTTCTCTGCTGAAAAAGATCTAGTCTACACAGGCAGAGATTTTACTGACCCTAAATACTACCTGTGACTTTTATATCCTAGATTTTATACCCACCACCACCACCCTGGAAAAGACAGCCACACTGGGTGTTCGTTTCACCTGCATGCCTCTGCCACCGTGCCCCTCCGGGCCTGGGCTAACCCTTCTCCAGGTCTGGCAGGGACAATGGACCTGCTACCTAGACTGCCTGCCTTCCCGCGGCTCCCGCCAGGTGAGCTCACAAACCGGCGGACGAGGATGAAAATCTTAAGGCCCTTTACGGGCGTGTGCGTGCGCGCGCGTGCGCGTGCGTCACTCCGGGGGCTTGAGCCGGGGCCTGTCCTGGACCTTCTCTGCTCCGGGCTGGGGACGGTCGCCCGGGCTGTCCCGCGACCCTCGGCCCCGCAGCAGCGGGGATGGCGGGCCTGGCCCGGGCCCGGCCTCCGAGGCCTCCAGGAAAGCTCCCACTTCCCTTCGAATCCATCAGCGGACACACCCATGCCCCCCCCGCCCCCCAGTTCGGTAAGACTCTCCTTCTCTCCTCTCCCCCGGTCCTCCAGGGGGCGCCCCCAAAGTCGGGGTGACCCTAGGCCGGCGGCCCGAGGGCGCCGCTCCAGCCCCGACTCCCGGACGCCGCGCGCTCCCCGCCCCTCACTCACCACCCGCGGGCTCGAATGCCGTCCCGCCCTTTCCGGTCGCTCTGCCCGCCTCTTCCGCCTACACAGCGGCGCGCAGGCGCGACGCGGCCGGCCGCTG